AAATATAAAAAATATAATAAGTTCAAAAAGAAATATTTTAAACCAAAAAGAAAATATTTTAGAAGAAAATATAAACCTTATAATAAAAAAACATTAGATAAAAAACGATGTAAATGTTGGAATTGTAATGAAGAAGGACATATAAGTACTGAATGTCCAAAAAAGAAAGTTAGGATATTAATTACAGGTTTTGAACAAATTAGAGATGAATGTGTAGACGTTAATATTGAAAATATAGAAGTTAATGAAGAAATTTTTGAAGAAAAATCGAATTTAGAAGAAACATCTAGTGATGACGAATAAAAATAGGAATAAAACTAGTTTCTAAAAAACTATAAAGTTTGAGGACTTAGTTTGCAATAAAAAATTATTTCATTAAGGGTAAAATTGACTTTTACATAAAAAACCCAAATAGGTCATTTGACCCGGCTATTTTGGAAATTCTCCCCCTAAAAACAATAAACCCGAAATAATGGGATGAGGTCGGGCCAAGTGGGTCAAGTAGTATGGGCCCGATCTATTAATGCCCGACCTCAACTGTGGACTGAAGCCCATTAAAGATGGGTCAAGGTCGAGCTCGGGTTTATCATCATCAATAATAGATAATCAATAAACAAGGGTAGGAAGAGGAGGAGAGGAAAAAAAGAAAAGAGAGAGACATGCCGCAATCCGTCAAAGCACGCCGTTTGGCCCCAATATTATCCCCCCCTTTTTTGTTATAAATTTATCTATATATACTATAGTATTTGTCGAAATAAAATTTAACGATTTAAAAAATATACTAATTTAACGAAAACGTAATTAAATATACGTAAATATACTTATCGATTCGAAGTGTTGGATATAAAAGAAACATTTTTGTTTAGCGTTTGATAAATTTATGAGATTTTAAGGTTTAAAAACATGAAAAATGAAAGAGTTCTTATCTGTATTGGAGTAAACAAATTAAAAAGTGACTCGATTTGGAAATTTTATTTGAAAAGTATTTGGTTTTTACTTTGTAACTTAAATGTATTATTGTTTTTTAGATAATCTCTTAATATAAGATATTTAAGGGTATTTTTATCTTTTAATTAACAAAAAGTGATTGTGATGAATGGAAAATATTTTTGACTGACGTAAAAAAGAAAATTGTCGTTTGATCAAGCCAATGCTAAATTAAAATAATGCCCGTCCTGATAAACAAGTACCGGCATCTCCCGAACTAAAACCCTAAATAGCTTAAAACCCTAATTCAAAAACTCATCTTCTCCATCTTCTCGACTCATTAATAAATCAATTCTTAAAATATGGGAATACCATCATTCTACCGATGGCTAATCGACAGATATCCACGTTCGGTTGTTGAAGTGATAGAAGATTCTCTGTCATTTGTTAATGGTGTCAAGGTCCCTGTGGATACCACGAAGCCGAATCCCAATGGCTTTGAATTCGACAATCTCTACCTTGACATGAATGGCATTATCCATCCCTGCTTCCATCCAGAAGACATGGTATACTTGTTTAAACATTTACCTTTGAGAGATTTGGGTTTATTGGAATAGAAGTTCCTTTTATTTTTTTGAAGAATTCAGTTCAATTTTGGCCTTTCTTTGCAGAAAATGCCGGAAACTTATGATGAAGTATTCAGGGCGGTATTTAAGTACCTTGATCGAATTTTTACTGTGATTAGGCCACGAAAACTTCTTTACATGGCAATCGGTCAGTTAGCCATCTGTTCTTGATCTATTTATCATATTCAAGGATATTTTAGTATTTCCAAAACAGAAGACCTCGAGGATTTCATCAAATAAATTTGAGCGAAATGAAGTTTATGGGCATTGAATTGGTTGTTGACTACTATCATACAATATTTTTAACTCGAAGAAATATTCTTATGATAGAGAAATTTGATGAAAAATGTAAAGTGGTCATGCTGTTACCTTGACCTAGTATAACTAAACGGTAATTGTGTTGTCACATAATGATTTCTTGCTAGATGGTGTTGCACCGAGGGCTAAGATGAATCAGCAGCGAGCAAGACGATTCAGAGCTGCTACAGAAATAACCGATGAAGTAAGTTTTATGTTTTTCACGATTTCAAAGTTTTTGTTCAGAGATTTTTCTTTTTGCTTACAAAGTAAAAAAAAAAAAAACTATTGATTTTTAATTGCTATTAGACTTCTCAAATGGAGAAACCGAGAGGAGACCTTGAACTGGAAGGAAATAACATGGGAAAGCAAAAGCTCGATTCAAATGTAATAACGCCTGGAACCGAATTCATGGAATTGTTGTCTGATGCGCTTCAGTATTATATACATTGGAGGACGAACCACGATCCTGGTTGGCAAACAATCAAGGTAGGAATTTGACAATCAGTTAGTGGGAGAAATCTATTCTTTCTCTATTTGATGTGATTTTCTCTGATTTTGTCAGGTAATCCTTTCGGATGCTAGTGTGCCTGGTGAAGGTGAACACAAGATAATGTCTTATATCCGCTTACAACGAAATCTTCCAGGATTTGATCCAAATACCCGACATTGTCTGTATGGATTGGTAAGTTTCTTTGGTCTATTTTGATTTATTTAATGTGCTCTCCATTTATGGATTATGTTGCAAAATGCACAAGACATTTTGACTCCTAGTTCTGTTTTATTAGGATGCAGATTTAATCATGCTTGCTTTGGCTACCCACGAAGTGCACTTCTCAGTTTTAAGAGAGTCTGTAAGTTTGGGGGTTTTTCTCAGTTTTCATCACTGAAATTTTGTATCCGACTTAACAATTTTCGATTCTATTTAAGCTGCTTTAGGGAATCCTGTTGACTGTTGAACCTGTTACTTTTATGAGGATGAGATTGATATGTAACTGGAGGAAGTAAGCAGCAAGCCACAATTTATTTCTCAAAAAATAATTAGAAGAAATAACAATTAGAATTTTGAAAATTTATCAAGTGACCTGCATGTGCCATTTGACAAGTGGCTCACAAGTCACAAGTGCACTGGAGGAGGTTATTCTAGACTGCCTTGGAGCTAATGACTGTCATCTATGAAGTTTCTCAGTCCACAGGCCCACTTAATTATTTAGATAACAAGAAGCTTCATATTGGAGGTTTTCTAATTCAAGCGTGAAATTTCAGCACTATTGTTTACATTCTTAGAAGAAAAGCTCAAACTGGATGACAAAATTGCCCCTGATAATCCAACAACTAGATTCTGTCCTGCAACTCCTGGAAGCATATGAACAAAATTGATTCTGTTTTTTCAGATGGAAAAAAGGAACTGCAGTGAGGAGTTAGTCTGACTGTGGATTCGTAGATTGAATTCACTGTAAAGCTCCTTGATGTGTAAGTTGTGTCCCCGCATTTGGTTTGTTGGCTGCCAAAGCAATGGTGAATGAAGGCTGACCATTGACCAACAGTGGACTGGAGTGGCTCTTGAATGAGGGAAACATGCTTGAACATGTCATGCCACTACTTTCAGAATACTAGTAAATGTAAATCTATAATATATGTCCAAAACTGGAAACAAATGATTTCTCAGTTTTTGTGTCAACGGTCAAACATCACCATTCTGTTGTCATTTCCAAATGGACAGGATTCATCAACCAATTCTATTTGGAACCATTTACTGCTTTATGATTGATGTGCACCAGAAAGGTTATATAATATATTTTTTCATCTCACATCACTCTCGTGCTGATGCAGCTATTTTTTCATTTTGGGAACCTAAATTTAGCCAGATTTGTTGTATGAATTTACTTTCTATCAGCTTTTCAACTGGTTTTCAAGAATTCTAGGACCCTGAATTCCAATCTGTTGTTGGTATATTTATCTATTGCACGAAGAGATAATTTTGTGGAAGTTTTGATCTGGATACTTTTAAAGGGGGTAATAAATGTTTTTCTGTGTAATAAATGTGGAGTTAATGACATAGTTGTTCAAAATGTAGGACGTTCAGAAAGCACCAGATAATCACAAAGGTCCAAAATGGAAGACTGATGGAAGTGGTGAGGGTCTTGATGACTTCATATCAAGACAGAAGTTTCAGGTTGTTACTCTTTATACATCTGCTGTATAGTTTAATTGATTGTATGTTAAGGGTTTTTATATTGCTAAGATTCTACTGGATTCGTGCAATTGGAACTAGGCATGATAAGAATAGGGGTTGCACCGTTGCGGGTTAATATTTTACAAGCATACATATTTGAAATTGTCACAATAGTGCTCTTATCTGATTTTCCTAATTATATTCTTTACACAACATAGCAGTATTTGTTCATCTTGACATCCTTGTTACTAAAAGGACATGTAGAGAGTGATATGTTGGTTGTGAAGGCTGTAAGTTTTTGTTCTTCTCCTTAATTGATATCTTTCTTTGTTGTACTTCAAATTTTTTTTCTTTCCATTTTGGTTGATCAAGATAAGTAACTACAACTACATGCAATAAGTTTTCAGAATGTGAGAGAGAATCCAAGGGTTACATGTTGATACATCATGCATGTTTGGGTACTTGTTGATATGAATTAAGTATGCTATTCAGGTTTTCTATGCTTGTGCTAGTAAGTGAGATAGATACATATTAGTCATGTAATTATATTTTATCTCTTATCATTCTGTTTCAGTTTCTCAATGTATGGGTACTCAGAGAATATCTGGAGGAAAGCCTGAGAATACCAGATCCATCCATCGAAGTAAACCTCGAGCGATTGATAGATGATTTTGTTTTCATGTGTCTATTTATTGGAAATGACTTTCTACCTCATGTGCCATCATTGGAGATACAAGAGGTTAGGATGCTATACATACATATGCTGATTAGTAGATATTCAAAGCATATTTCTTCAAAATAATTAATGGAATTTAGCTTATAGTTATGTGACTAACTGACAAAGTACACGGTCACACCCCAGCATTCCCCTCCTCCCACCAAAAAAAGAACATGCAAATTCCACCATGAACTCATAAAACAACTTCCATTAATTGAATTCGCTTAACTTACCTTCTGCAAAAATTTCATTTATGTTTTTTCCCCTGAACTTTTCTTCTAGGGGGCCATCGATTTGCTCATAACTGTCTACAAGAATGAATTTGTTCGAATGGGTGGCTATCTTACTGATTCTTTTGAGGTACATGACTAATTTTGAGCTACTCTAGGCATTTCATCTGCAAATTGTTGCATCCATGGTTTACCTTCCCTGAACGCATCCATTTTCATTTCATTGAAGCTACATGATTTGTTATAAAATAAATGAAATGTGGATATATTAACTATCTCTGTTGCGTTTATTTTTGGTGAAACAATTTGCGATTTTTTATGAATCTATATTAATTTCATTATTTTATTTTATATAAAAAAAGAGAGAACACAAGATGTATACAATAAAAAACATCAAAGAATAAAGCAAATCATTCAAAATCCATGATTCTATATAAGTGGAGATCAATAGAGTGCCAAACAATAATTGAAACAGCATGTTGAATTAATTTTCAAAATCGAACTTTGCACTCTCTCAGAACCCACCCAATTGCATTTGTTCTGAAAAGTCTATTTGATACTAGGAGTGTCACCTTCCAGGCCTAATTTTGACATGTAAGGGTGGTCATTTCTTGCCAAGCATTATGTACTTTGCAAGGTTGTAATTGAATCTCTGTAAAAGTGCATGATAGTTCATTACTTAATTTTGTTAGATTTTTCCACTTCCGACTTGTCTAATATTTTAATCTGAAGGGCTGTTTAACTAGAACTTCTCTTGTACCAAGGAGTGAGGACATAATATGATTCTCCTTTAGAATTTATTTCAACTATAAAATCCCCACTTCGAAAATAATTATCAATACAACTGATGCGACATTTACTTTAAGACCCTGTTTGATTGCACTTCAATTCCATGGAAGATGAAAATTAAATTTCATTTTCCACCTTTTTGCATGTTTGATTGCCCAAATTTTCCATGGAATTGATTTTTCATCTTTCACCTACGTGCTCATATTTTCTTGGTTTTTGAGGAAAAGCTTTTCCCATGGTGGGTAGGCAATTTTTTTTTTTCAATTATATTATTAATTATATTTAAAAATTTTTTTGGCAATGGAAACAAATTCTATTCCCAATTGTAACAAATTCTATCCCTTTAATGGATAATTTTCATGGAAAACAGAGTCAAACGAATATCAAAAGATCCAAAATTTCAATATTTTCCAGGTGGAAAATTATACCAATCAAACACAATTAATTGATAATTCCAAGTAAAACAAGTTCTAGGCAATTTAATTCCCTAGAATTCATTTTCTTTCTACCGAAATTTCATTCTTGCAATCAAACGGACCCTAAGTCAATCCAAAACTATAAATATGAAGACTGTGTGTGCAAATCTGTTGGAGGATTATGAGAACCTACAAAAAAGTTTTTGCTAGAGTTTTTTTAGTTGTAACTTGTAACTACATGGCTCCAAATGCATGTTTTGGGTTTATGCATGTAGCTTCATGAAAGAAAGGGGTCAAACTCTGTTTTGGTCCGATAGCCCTTTTCATGTTCGAGTTTAGTAGGGTTTTGAAAAATCTGTGGCGTGAGGCCGGTAGGATGTTGTTCTTCTGTCTTCTCGCCGTCACCGGCGTCGACAGGAGGGGAGGGTTGCTGGGTAATGGGTGGCTGGGTAAGTGGTGGTGGGGTGTTTTTGGATTTTGGGAGGAGAGGCTCCATACGGGACCTCGGAGAAACAAGAAAATAAATACCTAGAAATGATGATGTTATGCTTTCCTTCTCCTAATCCAAAACTATAAATATGAAGACAGCGTGTGCAAATCTGTTGGAGGATTATGAGAACCTACAAAAAAGTTTTTGCTAGAGTTTTTTTAGTTGTAACTTGTAACTACATGGCTCCAAATGCATGTTTTGGGTTTATGCATGTAGCTTCATGAAAGAAATACTCGCATGTAAGTGCACATGCTAGTGTTTATTTTTTAGTTGTAACTACCTGGCTCCAAATGCACGTTTTGGATTTATGCATGTAGCTTCATGAAAGAATACTCACATGTATGCATGCATATATTTTGTGACAATTATCTCCCTGATAAATTCATTGTTTATATTTGAAATTTAATATTTGGGACCTGGAAAAAAAAAGGTTCACAGAAGTCCTGGTAACTATTGCCGATCTTTTCCCTAATAATTATGAGTCCACTGGCTATGTAAGTGAATATTGCATTATAACAGAGTTCTGCATTTGGAAGTAGTTTGATATTGTTTCTTGAACTTTTCATAACCTCTTTGTACTTATTATGGTCCAGGTCAATCTGGAACGAGTGGAGCACTTTGTACGAGCCATTGGTACCCATGAGAATGCCATCTTTAGGAAACGAAGACGGGTACTGCCCCTGATATTGATGTATCATTTCGCCTGAATCTGTTATGGATACTACTATTCGTTTGACACACATTTAAATCAGGCCACCCTTATAATTTTCCTCACCTGTTGTTGGAAATCAATCATGGTTCATGGAGACATATTCTTGTTAATATTTAATGAAATGGCTTTTATTAGTTTCAAGCATTCGTATTTAAGGTGGACGGTAACTTTGAAGAGTGCTTGTTATTTGCACCCTCTTGGTTTGCTACATGTATTATCTTTACAAATTTCATTATTCAGGAGCAAATGAGATGGAAGATGCACGCAGGACGAGCTCCAGCCAATGGCAATGTAACATGTTGAACATTTTAATTTGTTTCTTGATATAACTTAAGGATGGATGTAATTGATTCTGAGACTTAAGTTATCTAATTTTTGAATCAGTCTGGTGGAAAAGGGATTCAGATATTTCCGGTTGACGTAAATGCCAAGACCAGATTTGTGGAAGACAAGGTTGTCTAATTTCCTTGTATTCGTGCTCCTCACATTAGATACAACTCAACCTTTTGTATCTTTTTGGCCGTAGGTTAACCTATTTTCATGTCAGGTCAATCTAGGAGAAGAGGGTTGGAAGGAGAGATACTATACGGAAAAATTTAAAGCTTTAACTGATGATGACCATCAGAGAGTTAAAAGACATGCTGTAAGGAAATTTTTTATGATAGGTTAATCCCAGAGAATTTCATTGTCATTGCTTGATGTTATCAATTTTTTGTATCTTCATTGATCATCCAGTTAGACCTTCAACACTTTTGTTTACTTTTATTCTTAGCCCCTGTTTGGTTGGGATTAAAATCATATTTTTAGCAGATTTTGGTTAAATTTGATGAAATATGTTGTTGAAAAGTTATGGGTCCCACGAAATGTATGGTTAAAACTTAATTGTTGACTTTGACTTAAAATTAAAATTCAGATTTTAATCCCTATCAAACCGAGGTTTATCTTTGTAATTTTCTTTTCTTGCCTGCGGATACTTAATCTGGTAGATTGATTCCTGTCAATTTGTTTGCGTTCTTATTTAGTTTTCTTTTCGTTTTGTAAACTTTCTTTTATTTGTCATAGGTCTTGAAATATGTTGAAGGGATTTGTTGGTTCATGCGTTATTACTACCAAGGAGTATGCTCCTGGCAATGGTTCTACTCTTCTGCTGCTTGTTTATCTATATTTTTGCAATGTACATATTTCTAATTTGCAACCCATGGGAGTTTATAAAACTGAATAATTTTTTGATATCGCATTGGCGGTGCCATAATACTAGCAATAAACTCTGATTCTCAACACTAACTTATTCTTTGACAATGATGGCAATATCCTGTTTAACTTGGAAAATGAGAATAATATTGGGAAGCAAATAACATCAAGAGACGACATGGTTTGGCCATTCTGTATATAACCGCTGACTCGATGGACAGCGGATCTAGAGGCTAGAGCCTTTCCTTTTTTCTCCTACATTAGAGCTAAATCACCTCTGTTTATGGGCGAGATGATAAGAGCATGTTTGGCTAGACTTAAAATCTAATTAAAATTGAAAATATAGTCGTTATTGGGTCTCACTCGTCTAATAAAAGTCAACAACAACGGCTAGTTTTTCAATTTTAATCCGATTTTAATATCTACTGATCACGCCGAAAAATGTGTGAAAATATAAAATGAAGTCTTCAATCGAAAATGATTAAATCAAATTTATGTTTTGTGATCCCATTGATGGTGCTATAATCTTATAACCTCAATAACTGTCATCTTTGAGTTTCAATTATGAGGAATGATGATAATTGTCATTTAAAAAAAACTGTTTTCCCTTCAAACAAACTGAAAATTTTTAGTTGAAATGGGAGACCTGAAATTGCTGGTTTCTGAAAGCTAACCTTTATAGTAGTTATATATAGAATGTCTCGTTCGATTTTGTCTTGATCGTGCACATATGCATCCCATTGGAAAGATGAAGCATTCACAACATCAGGCGATGTGCTTGCGAGGAAAAGGAAAATGTGTTCTGAGGGTGAAGATCTTATTGACTTGTTCCTTCTACCTGAATTTACATGCGAGTAGGATGCTGATGTACAAAAATGATCTCTTTTTACTGGATCAAAGAAACTTGGAAATATCTGGTGTTTCTTACCCATCTTAACCTGGGTTATAACCTATGATTAAATCCTTACTGACCAGAAAACCCACACACCTTCCCCAACCCAGCCCAACCCCAACCTGTAGAAACCACTCTATCTTTCCTCCTTGTTGTCCCATTGTTGCTGTTGTCTCATATTGTACATCATGGAGACAAAGAAATAATGCGAAAAGTTGGGTCAGGATCCAGGTTGCATTATAAACAGGCGAAGGTTTTTGGTACCTTTGAGAAGAGAAGTTGTCAAGTACATAGGCTTTGTTTCTGACAAATGACTGGGATGTCAGTGCTGTAAAGGCTGGCAAATAATTCAGGCCTCTGCTAACTTATTTTTAATTAGCACAAAAATGCTACAGAAAACCACTACAAAATTGTTTTACTTATTTTGATGTATTTATCCAACTTTAAATATATTATGGGCCTTGAACTGCAGAACATTGTCTTACTGAATTTCAACTCTTCAGGTTTTATCCTTATCACTATGCTCCATTTGCTTCTGACTTCCACAATCTTAGTGAGCTAGAAGTCAATTTTACACTCGGAAAACCCTTTAAGCCCTTCAACCAATTAATGGGTGTCCTGCCTGCTGCAAGGTTTTTAAACTAATTTATGCTTGTTATTTAGTGCATGTTTGTCAAAGTTTATAATTGTTTATAAGCAGTGGGTCTTGAGAAATGTGATTAAAAAGGAGTTAAAAGTTATGGGTCCTATGGATATATGGATAAGAATAAAGTTTGACCCGCTTATAAACAATTATAAGCTTTGACATGCATGCACTTAATCAGATGTTTGCTTATATTTTTAGACTTCAATTTAACCCAGTACGCGTGTAGTGCACATGCACTTCCTTTGTTCTACAGGAAATTGATGAAAGATCCATCATCGCCTATTTTGGATTTTTATCCTACTGGTAGGGTGATTACGTGAATATAATTTCTCTTTTCTCAAGTATTTACCTGTATGAAATAAAATTCAACATTTTTTGTATAGATTTTGAGCTCGACATGAATGGGAAAAGGCGTGCTTGGAAGGTATGGTGAATATACGCAACTTTTACTTATTAGTTTCAGTTTTCTAATTTCCTGGCTCAGGTTGATTTGCCTTTGATGAGCTTAAGTGCTTGTTTGGGAGAACTTAAATTATAATCACTTTTGGTCAAACATACTTTCTAATCACATGTCTTAGGACCCACAATTACCATCCACTTTTTATTCACACATTTTGGAGGACTCGTTGCATAAATTATAGTTAAAACTTTCCCGAACAAGTGCTAAATTATGGGTTAGGGCAAATAGTCCACCGTGGTGACTGAAGTTCTTCTTGATGCTAATTTTTTTAAAAATAATAGCCTAATACTCTGATGGTTGGATTCTTCGAAATAGTTGGAGTACCCGTGTCGGACACGACACAATATAGGTATGGGTATGGGCTATGTGTCGGATTCTCCACGTTTCAACCGGACACTTCGTCGTTTTTGCTTCTTCTTCCTTCTTTTTCTTCTTTCTTTCTTTTTTATCTTTTCCTTTTCTTTCCCTTTTCTTCTTTCCTACTTTTGCTCTCTATAAATCTAGCGTCATCGCAGAGAGGGTGGAGAAAGACGGCGACGCTAGGTTTTCCCTTCTTTTTCTTTTTCTCTCTTTTTTCTTTCCATTTTCTTCTTTTTTTTCTTTCCNACATTTAGTAATTCTCATTATTGAAAACGAAACTTCAAAATTCTATTATATTTATCTTAACCCCTTATTAAATACCAATTTCCTTCATTGTGAATAATTAATTTTGGTCTATTCAAAATGACATCTTAGATTAGTAAAAAAATTGAAGTTTGAAAGACGTACACGTGTCCGAAATTTGGACTATTTTTAACCATGTTCCCATATCCTACATTTTAGAAAATAAAAGATTCGACACTTAGATACGTACCCGATACTCGTACTCGAGTCCGAGCATCATAATACTTTGTGATTTTCAATACCGTTTGTGTGGTTTCTGAAAGTCATTATGTCTCAAGGCCATGTTACAGATAGTTCAGAATGGTTAAACACTTCAGGGAGATGGAGAGAGAAGTAATAATTAAGAAAAACAGTTTCTTCATTTATGGGTCTTCAACATCAAAGCAAGTTATAGATACTAGTCTACGGTGACAGGATGAATTAATTAGAGTCAACTTATGAATTGTAAAGCTGAACCAATCTTACCATGCTCTCTTTCAATTGTTCCTCTTGTATACTATTGCTACAACAGGTTGACTTATGTCTGTTCTCTTCCTAATTGCCAGGCTGTTTGTAGATTACCATTTATTGACGAATGTCGTCTTCTTGCTGAGATTGCAAAAGTGGAACATACATTAACGGTAACACCTAAGTCACAATGACAAATGCCGATAATGCAATATATCTTAACCTAGTTCCTGTTTGGAGAATTATTTCCTCTGCATTTGCATTTCGGATTTATGCTTCTGTGAGATATTTATCGAGTTTCTAAATTGTATCGTTGTAATTTAGGACGAAGAAAAGAGGAGAAACAGTTTGGGTATGGATAAACTGTATGTTCATGTCTCGCATCCTTTAGCCTCAAAGATCTTGACCTTCTATGAACGGAATAAAGACAATCTAAAGTTGTCTAAAGCTAAAGTAAGGAGGAAAATCAACCCTAAACTAAGGTAAGATATCCTAAAGATCTTTATTGGTATTTGTATATTACCCTTCATCCTTCCTGTAAGGGTTAGAAAAAGTTATTAAGTGAACACTTGATATATAGATCCATGTCACCATCTGCCTCTTTCTTTAGTTGACCTTGCACAGGGGTGAGCTGAAACTCTGTTCATTCACCAGTGGATGCTGCCACTTGGTGCTGTTGTGATCTGGGATTCATAATTCAGCGCACATGCTCTGAACTTCTAATACGTCATATATGAAGTTTCTTTTCTTCTTGTGATATATAACCATAGAAGAAACGAGTAATTTTATGTCATGTGTGCCATAATTTTCCTGTTGGTATTATCAATTATTAACTGTCCATGTTTTAGCTAACTGATGTTACTATGCAGTGGTGGAATGAATGGATATGTGTATCTTTCCAATAAGCCCATTTGTCCATCAGTGATTTCTTCTCCTTGTTGTGACATGGAGATGATCATGGAGAACAAAGTTATGTATGTAATTTGGTATTGAGTGTATTTTACGTTTACGACAAAATTTCAACAATAGTTCAAAGCTGTGTATTATATCCTGAAGGTTTTTTTATTTTCCTTCATTTCAGATCCGTCTTCTATAAATTTCCTTCTTTTCATCCTCACATGTCTAAACCACCTGATGGAGTCATAATGCCTGGAAAGGTAAACTGCGTTTATTGCTTTACCATATTTTGCTTCTGCATTTAGTAGTAAGAAATTTCAAGCAAAAAAATAAATAAATAACAAGTCCTGCTTCAAGGCAAGAAGAGTTTAGATGATAATTATTTCATATTTTCCTCCTGGTCATGACAAACTTGGCCAACACTCGTAGTTAGTGGGGCAAATAACTTCTGTTATCCATGATCCCATAAGAAAAAGAAGTCATTTCATATTCTTACGCTGTTACACATGAATACTCTTTTTCATCAAGATAAAAAAGCTAATGACAGATAATTGTGACTTGTCACAAATAAATGCACGTAAACAAAGAGAGTTTGAGTCAACTTATTCGTTTGCTCTGTGGATGGCTGCTAGAATTTGTTGAAACTCATCAATCCTTGATGAACACTGAACATTTAAAATCTATCTATCGCACAACAAATTTGTGGATGTGGATGGATCTTCAAGTTTAACAGCTCTAGTCACTGCTGCTACATTTTAGGACTCATGCTTAGATATTGTAACTATTTCTATCATAAGAAAAACTTAAGGGTTGGGATACTATTAATATTATCAGAAATAAAGATATTACAATTTTTTTGGATCAGCCTCTCTTAGCATATATATACGCACTCGAGGTGTTCAATAGTGTAAAATAAGGGGTCAATTTTGGAGAAGAAACCAGTTATAGTTTGTGAAATATTTGAGTGCACACGCTCATTCACAAATGGACCCTCCCCTTCTCAGTGGTTAGATTCTAGTGTAAGGAAAGAGGGCAAATACATGCCAGCTTAAGAGCATTTCTAAGAGATCCTTTAAAAAGTGAGATGCTCTTTATTTTAAAGAGTCAAACCTTAAAATTAAGGAAGTGACGTTGGCTTAGTATATTTGGAGGGCCAAACTCTCTCTCTCTATATATTTTATCAAGATTACATATAATAAAATTACAAGTTTCAGTGCTCTTCTACTTGGAAGTATTCTTATTATATTGAATAATTTAGCAATTGATGTTTAAAAATATATACATTAATTGAAAAATGAGGGAGAAACAAGGAATATTGGGAAATGCAAAATAAAGAGCAAAATTAAAGATTTTGTTGGGGGTGTATAAACAAATTGTTTTAAATTTAAAGGTGCTCTATTATGACCATGATGCTCTTTAAAACTATAGAGTGGAGATGCTCGAATTGGTTAAAATATTATTTGGAAAAGGCTAATGTCTGATTCGATAACATTCAAAACTATGAAATTTGTATCTGAAATCTGCATACATACATACATACATACATACTTGTATATATATATACATACATTCTTATATATATATATATATATAATTCTCATTTTACCTGTTATGTGTTCAAGATTGACTTCAGGTCTGATCTCTTCTCTAGCTTTCATAACATGCAGTTCCCTTTTTTTTTTTTTGACAGTTCGTCAGCAGGCACAACGATTTACCTCCACCCATGCTGTGGCATGAGAAGACTACTGTTCAGAGAAGATTTTCTAGAAGGTGATAGTTTTACCTTGTTCTTTATGAGTGTGCGGCCATGGGAACACAATAACAAGAGAGATTAGTGAGGGGCAAGTTGTTATATACTTGCTAAAAACAATCTTACACGAGAGAGTAAATGAGTAGTGGTGTGGGATGTTTATAAGTTGCTAGTGGAAATTCTCTGATGGTCTTGTTGATCTAGATGGTTAACAATCTGATCGGGCTGTTCTAATTAGTTAGTTTTAAGAGGGGATTATAAGTCAAACTAAAATGGGTGTCTGCTCCATTTGACTATGTAGGCAATGCAAGCTCATTTCTGCAATTAATATCCATAATCATGAACGAAATAAATTTCATTACTAGTGCATGTTTGGCTCTTGTTTAATTTATAAACATAATTTGTCAAACTTATTTTTTATCCACACAATTCGTGCACAGGTACTACCCACTTATTTGCCACTCATTTCTATCTATTTATAATCTAAACCAATTAATTATAATCACTAACCTGACATGCATTAAGTAAACTTGTCATGAAGAAACTTGTTAGGAGCATTGGACTTGTATATGCAATGTCATTTCATTATTCCCGTAGATTTTCTAAAAGGTGAAGTGTTTTGAGTTTCCATTTGGAAATTACAGAGATTATATCTGGGTTAGAGAATAGTGGACCAATACTTTTTGGTATTCGACACATTCACGATCCGGCGAGAATTGGACATATATTTGGAAGTTTCGCTGACTAGCCTGAATGCCTGATTTATTTTTTTGTTCATAAAAATTTCCTTGCACTTTCTGATATTTCTTCCCTATCTATCTAGGCCCATTCCTCCCAAGTCTGTTGCGGGTCCTCGTCTGGCAATATTGGCCCATCAACTCGTATCAGGAAACTATGTCAGCAAGCAGTGTGAAGATATGGGTGGCAAAGATGGAGATCATGGCAAACTCGGGAAAAGGAGTTGTCATGCTCCCGATGACAACAAAAAGAAGAAGAAGAAGAAGAAGAAGCATAATAAAAGGAGAAAATTGAACAAATCCTAGTGTTGCAGAATCATTTTCGGACTGCTGATGTATCTAGCGAATGATTCTGCCCCAGACGCTTGGAAATATGGCTGTCCGTTAATTTCCTCTATCTAGGTTGGCCATTTCACAAGATTCCCTAGGCACAGTGGAAAGAGAAAATGGGTATTGTGCAGTTGCCCAACCATCGACCAAGCACCACCAGATGGTTGGTCTTCCGTTCAGACACTCCCTCGTGGTGGATTTCTCTTTTTGCTTGGTTGTTATTGAACTGAAGAAGGCATCCTTCGGTTGTAGTTCCAGGAGTATAATGGCTCTAAACAGAACCAGGCTTTCTAGTGCCTGGGATTCAGTAATATTTTCCCATGTTCTTCATACCTTTTTGTCATTGATACTTTGGGTCATTTAATTGTAACATTAAAAGAAAATAGATCCCCCCGCCCCTTCTAAAACAGATGTTGAAAGAGCATAATAACTATTATCCTTTGCTCAATTCAGCAATGAACAGAAAAATATCGCAATCTTTAGAGGAACAAGATTACAAAATTCCTGATAATGCTTTGGTCGCCAGTGGCTGAGTTGAGTTCTTCAATGGAACAATATTTATTATCGTTATAGTAAACACCGATTGGTGTTATGGACCATAGACAGTTTGTGTAACGCTAGACCACAAATCTTGAATGAACGATATCGTCGTCAAAATCATACGTTGTCTTAAGGTTACAGTAAAACTTTTTAGTAAAAAAGGTTTTGATTGAATTGAACAGTGAATCTGCTTGAATACGAGTATGTGAAACACAAAATCATCGTCATTTGGAATAAGAGCGAATCTGAATTCTTTCACCAGTTATATAATTTCTAATTACAAGATTTGTTTTTGCTGAGCCCTATTTTTCCAGATTGCGGATCAAGTGATGTAAATTGACAAGATCATTACGGATTATATGTCAATGTCCTTCATTAGTTTAGATTGACCTCAAAATCTATTGATCGAGTGGTTAACAGAATCTCGATCACCTCCCCGTCCACCTAGGCATTGCATGCACACTAAAAAAGATCGTTAGGGTGCAAAGATTACCGGTCGAAAAAAAAGGGTTTGACGACAGTTTACACTTCAACAATCAAGTCAACATCTGGACGAGAGAGAATGAATGCAGGAAACGGGATAAGAGGATTTGGCTAGGATTAAAATACATACCTGGAGTATGAAACGAACTCACACACACACATATAGTGGAAGGAAAGTAGGCGAAGATGAGTTGGTGGACCGGGCCAGGCCTGGGAAGAGGTTGCTTCATTTAATTGGCCCAATTCAATGGACATAATCGATTGTCGAGTAGGCGCCAATGTGGAACTCCCCTTGCTATGTGCATGTCACATAATTCATAGATGAAATAGTTTATATAATTTGGATGATCTTTGATTAAAATTTACTAAATTTAATGTTACGTTACGTATACATATTCGCTACACTGAATTTGTGCTTAGTTGTTGCATTGGGAAGATAAGTAGCAGTCTCTCTGTTCATGATAGTGAGCTGCTTGAATTAGGGAAAGGTCTGTCTGCTGCTAGGAAATGAGGTTTATACATCCTAGAAGTGGAACGTGATTTTTCCGTAGCAGTCTCCGAGATTTGCGTGCAAAATTTTCAGCTATTGGTATTGGCTTTTGGATTTAATCACAAGGAAATTGATTTTCCTTTGAATATTAAATCAAAAAGGATTATAGATATCAGATCTCTTTTAAGATTATTGTTGAACCTCGGAAATATAATCCGCGAAGTGCAAGGCAATGTGCAATGGAACAAGAGCATAAAGGTTCACCCAAAGTACGCTAAGCTTTCCCTTATCTAGAGTGACTATAGGCTATTAGTAAAACATGTGGGCCAAGGAATAAAATGCGACACTCTTAATAATAGGCCGATATTTGTCATTTTCCTTAATGACTGAATTCCCAAAGTTCAAATACTCCCATTTTTGAAGAGAAATGGATGCAATTCAAATACCTCCATTGTAAATAGTCACTCCTCTTGCTTCCAATTTGAACATCAAAACTAGTGAGTTTAAAAAATGAAAATTCTTGTTAGGTGAGAGGATTTGTTGATTTGATTCGTAACAAAGTAAATGACGAAATTCTGTTGTAGCTGAAGAAACCTCGAAATCCAAAAGATTTGAGAAAAATGAATCCATGGAAGGAAACTTACCCCCAGAGGTTGAAAACAAAGAATACAGTAGTGAATATCATGTGGATAATGATGCTAATCCAAAACGACAGAGAGAGAAAACACCTGTAAAGTCACAAGCCGGTATGTCTCCTGCTCAACATCGCCGCTTAAGGAAAAAGATAGCTATTGCAAACTGATCAGGAGGTGGCTGAAAGCCTGCGGGTATTGACGTGGAAAATATGTCGTTGCACGCGAAAGTTGAGAATCAAAGAAAAAATTGGTAGGAAGAAGAGGAAAGTTCGTAGTAGCCTGCAAATATCGAAAGTTGGTGATAGTGCATTGGAGAAGAAGAGGAAAGAGCGATGTGAGGCTAAATCCATTTTAGGAAGGCCTATGGATGAGGTAAGCTCACGCGACATGAGATCTACTATATATTATATCCAGGAAGGTCAGAGAGCCAAAAACTTTGTTGACACTTCGTAGACACTCTGCCGGTTGAAGAGTACAAAGATTAGCCTATCATTTCATATGAGATTGATGACAATGATTAATATGTACTATTTTCCAAAGATATCAAATATGCGCAAATCCGGACAAGTTTGTTCATCCCGTGGTAGAGAAATATAATGAGAAAGGAGGTCACGTGTATCATCTATTTGAGTATATGATGCAGATGAGACCGAAAAGGCAAGCCCCGTATTAAAGTGCCAAGGCTTTCATCTAACACTGGACGAACCTGCTAAGAGGTGGTATACAAACTGCCGCTAGGATCAATCAGAAGCTGGCCAAAACTGAAATAGGCATTCCTGGAGCATTTGTCGAAAGCAGATAGGGCACACATTAGCCACTAGGTTGAATGACATACGACAAGAAGAAGGCGAATATCTCAAAAGCTATTTAGTACGGTTTAGTGCTGAATTAATCGCTTGCAAGACTGTATCAGATGAAAAGCCCATAAGCATTTTGTAGAACGATCTGTTGATGGAGACTTCCTTTTGGCGAGATGTCAACTACCGAAATCCAACCTCCTACCATCAGATAATAAATTTGATCCAAAGCGAGATCGAAATAGATGATACCATTGCCAACAGAAAGAAGATAGAACAGCTTCGTACAAAAAAGCCCAAGGGTAAAATCTTAGCTTATTCTTCCAAATTGCCAATGTAACAACACTCTCATTATTACCAACCCAAAAGGAGGGTGTATGCAATATCTCTAGCCTTTGCACCGGCCATGGGCAAAGAGCATCCCCCT